GCGTTGCTGTTGTGGTTCTCAATAAAGTGTCTGTCTTGAACCAAGGAGTGCCTGGACCTCTCTTACTTTACTAATGTTTGCCAGCTCAGCAAGCACCCTGGCTCAGATTTGTGGGAGTGAGTGCAGTTCCACATTTACTATTCAGTGACTAAGTATATGTCTGACAGTGAGTGTGTGTGTGTCTGTCAGTGACTGTGTGTCTGACAGTGTGTGTGCTCGTCTGTCAATGTGTGTGCTCGTCTATGCTAGTCTTATTATGAATTAATGGACGATAAATTATGTATTCAATGTACAATGTATGTATTAGGCAGTATGTGTGTATGGATGTAGGTATTAAGCAGTATGTGTGTATGGATGAAGGTATTAAGCAGTATGTATGTATGGATGTAGGTATTAAGCAGTATGTATGTATGGATGTATGTATTAGGCAGTATGTGTGTATGGATGTAGGTATTAAGCAGTATGTGTGTATAGATGTATGTATTATGCAGTATGTGTGAATGGATGTATGTATTAGGCAGTATGTGTGTATGGATCTAGGTATTAAGCAGTATGTGTGTATAGATGTAGGTATTAAGCAGTATGTGTGTATGGATGTAGGTATTAAGCAGTATGTATGTATGGATGTATGTATGTATTAGGCAGTATGTGTGTATGGATGTAGGTATTAAGCAGTATGTGTGTATGGATGTATGTATTAGGCAGTATGTGTGTATAGATGTAGGTATAAAGCAGTATGTGTGTATGGATGTAGGTATTAAGCAGTATGTATGTATGGATGTATGTATTAGGCAGTATGTGTGTATGGATGTAGGTATTAAGCAGTATGTGTGTATAGATGTAGGTATTAAGCAGTATGTGTGTATAGATGTATGTATTATGCAGTATGTGTGTATGGATGTATGTATTAGGCAGTATGTGTGTATGGATCTAGGTATTAAGCAGTATGTGTGTATAGATGTAGGTATTAAGCAGTATGTATGTATAGATGTAGGTATTAAGCAGTATGTATGTATGGATGTATGTATTAGGCAGTATGTGTGTATGGATCTAGGTATTAAGCAGTATGTGTGTATAGATGTAGGTATTAAGCAGTATGTGTGTATGGATGTAGGTATTAAGCAGTATGTATGTATGGATGTATGTATGTATTAGGCAGTATGTGTGTATGGATGTAGGTATTAAGCAGTATGTATGTATGGATGCATGTATTAGGCAAAGACAAACCCACGTGGTATATCTGATAGTGATAAAAGCTCAAAACACCTGTGTGGTATGCCCTATAACAACACCTTAAGACATATATAACACAAACAAAATAGGTGGAGCAAATTGTATACGTTCCTCTCTTCTTAATATATCTAGTGATGCTGTAAAGATAGAGAGGTATATAATAGTGCAGATATCTTTAAAACATATGTATTAAGGCAGTTTTGCCTGTATTTGTGGGAGGGGCTTAAATCAATTCACTCCCCTATATAAGGGACACCCCTTACCTGACTCATATCGCTTGAGGTCAGCATCAGAATGATTTCCACTTCCGGGTCATCCAGACGCCATTTTACCTGATTACTCCATGAGGTTTTCTAAGCTGAGCTGTGTCAGGAATCCAGCCACAGGCTTTTCCGGCCTACCACCTTCTTTCTTCAATCTATCGCTGTGGATGGTGTCCAAGTGACTCACAAACCGTAAGTTGACCTACCCATTACGCCAGGCATCAGTCCCACGGCACCATGCAAGGGTCAGGTCCTCACTTTACTGCTGCATTTTGTCTAAGTCTGTTCTAAAACCATTGCATGTTCATGCATATCATTCGTTTAAACCCCCTACTGGTCTTTGGGTGTACTACAGACTTCTTAGACATTATTGCATTTCATGTACAAACCAACGAACCACTGCATCTTTGCCTACACACTGACCCCTACCGGTCATTCGGTGTACTACAGGCTTCTCAGACATTATTGCATTTCATGTACAAACCAACGAACCACCGCATTTTTCACCTACACACTGACCCCTATTGGTCATTCGGTGTACTACAGGCTTCTTAGGCGTTGTTTGCATTTTCATGTACAAACCAATAAACCACTGCATTTACACCTACACACTGACCCCTACTGGTCTTTCGGTGGACTACAGGCTTCTTAGACATTATCGCATTTCATGTACAAATCAACGAACCACCGCATTTGCGCCTACACACTGACCTCTACCGGTCATTCTGTGTACTACAGGCTTCTCCGACATTATTGCATTTCAGGTACAAACCAACAAACCACTTAATTTGTCACCTACACACTGACCCCTATCAGTCATTCGGTGTACTACAGGCTTCTTAGACATTATTGCTTTTCATGTACAAAACAATAAACCACTGCATTTTCACCTACACACTGACACCTACCAGTCATTCTGTGTACTACAGGCTTCTCAGACATTATTGCATTTTATGTACAAACCAACAAACCACTGCATTTTTCACCTACATACTGACCCCCTATCAGTCATTCGGTGTACTACAGGCTTCTTAGACATTATTGCTTTTCGTGTACAAAACAATAAACCACTGCATTTTTACCTACACACTTACACCTACCGGTCATTCAGTGAATTACAGGCTTCTCAGACATTATTGCATTTCATGTACAAACCAACGAACCACAGCATTTTCGCCTACATGCTGACCCCTACCGGTCAATCGGTATACTACAGTCTTCTCAGACTTTATTTCACTTCATAAGCAAACAAACTAACTACAGCATTTTCGCTTTTATACTGACTCCTATCTGTCATACGGTAGGATTAACCCCTTAGGGACACATGACATGTGTGACATGTCATGATTCCCTTTTATTCCAGAAGTTTGGTCCTTAAGGGGTTAAAGGGTATTTTTACCATACAATCAGCATTTATGACCCCTACTGGTCAACAGCAAAACTGTCTTCACATGTCATATACAATTTACCAGCCAATATAAATTACACATAAGATTGTTTTAACCCCTTAAGGACACAAGACATGTGTGACGTGTCATGATTCCCTTTTATTCCAGAAGTTTTGTCCTTACGGGGTTAAACATAACCATAAACCATAAATGAAACTCCAGCACGGGCTCAAATTCAGGTTTAATTCACAATAATTTACATTTCACATCAAGACCAACAGTGGTTCTATCAACACTGCCACCTACAGGTCTGTCAAGTACATTGACAATTTTCATGGGGTTTTACAAACACCAAAACACTTACACCTATAGGTCAACAGACAAACAACATTTCACATACCAATCAGTATCAACTACACTGCCACCTATAGGGCACTCGGCAGATCTCCAGTGCACTTGCATTTTGCAACACCATGTTCACTGACCCCTACCATTCAATAAGACATACAACAATTCACATAGCAAGCACTATATCAACATCAGGTATAAATACATATATTATTCACATAGCAAGCACTATATCAACATCAGGTATAAATACATATATTATTACACAGTAGCAGACGCGTCTGTATATACGTAACTGGTAATATAGTTCACATACATTTTTCACAGCACGCTGCTCACGCAACAGACTTTCCCCTAGCAAGGGGACATACAACATACAAGGTGGGGACAGACCACATTTTCACTTGTACATACGGCACTTAATGGGTTAAGATTGATACATATTTAACCAGTATGGCTACGATGTTTAATATTTACACATCATGGCACTTTACTTTTCACATATACTGTACGTATTAAGATAAGCTTGGTCTATGCCATATTTCCTTATGCCATACGGTTTTATCCATTCAGGTTACAGTTACTACTAAAAAACCTATACGGATTGTCAGGTTCAATACCATACTACCAGGTACATACACCTGCTCACGTAGTTATCCATCTCTTACCTTCCCTGGAATAGTAATAGTGTACTGGCAATTAGGGTTCTAGGGCCCAATAGGTATTACCCCTTTTTTCTCTGCATTATGCTTCGGTTAGTGGTCCCGCGAGGCCAACACCCCGCCTCACACTCAGAGGCATACACCCCTCGGGCCACTTGTGAGCTAGCCGCCTTGCATTGTATCATAGAGAGGGCCTCACCTGTCACTCCCCTTCCTATTTTTCTGGTTACTGTCACCGAGAGGCCAACATCCTGCCACAACGTTCGGTGGCCACACAAAATCCCCTCGCGCCAAGCATAGATAGAGCCTCTCAAACCACTTGGCAACTAGCAGGGCCTCACCAGTCACCAAAAAACACCAAGCCTAATCGTTTCGCCTTACGGCTTAGCTAGCAAGCCAGTACAAGAACCCCGGTTACAAATAATTGCATCTTTATTGTTATTTAAGTATTTCTCCAAAAGATGGTGAAGAATCACCTCTTCCTAGCACCCCGGCTAGAATTGATACACCTTCAAGCAGAGGAGATGTTGCTAGTCCTGCAGCAATCAGATCCTGGACGATCCCACACATTACCACCTACCTAAGGAGGTGACAAATCCCCTACCCTGCTACAGCAAGGAAAGCAGAGTTATTCAAACACCTCCATACATCAACGGACAACACGGAGGCAGGGGAAGGCCCAGCTACATCAACTCAGGTGACACCCAGGCTATGCTAGCCTCACTCATAAACTCATGAGCCAAAAAATTTTATGACAGACTGGCAATCTCGAGTTGGTCACCACAGCCCTCACAAGGCTGGGCCTCACGTTACTGTACAACCAGCACCAACCGAAACTCGGTTACCTGGTACAATCAATTCTTATGACCCACAAGATGTTAACCCTGCACGTATGATCCCAGCACATTGGGGAAGCAAGGCATATATATGTATGATGATGTATCTGTGATGGTCAGATTCAGGGATTCCAGGTAAATCGGGAACTGACCATCTCTTGGATGGGGTGGTATTTGGAATATGTAGAGATGTTTATTTGTGCAGGTACCCATACAGAAGGGGTTCTGTCCCAAACAAATGGACGAGCACTCTCAGGCTCCAGGTACCAGCACCTCTGAACTACCAGAGACGTTTGATATGAGTAGTTGCATTGCATATAGACTGTTGCATATATGTTCAAATGGTTCAGGGCACATGACAAACCATGTGGCCCAATACAACTTACAAATAACGTACTCACCATCTGTACACACCAATGCATTTTCAACACTACTGACTCATCACCCATCCAGACTTGTAGTAGATTTACTAAAGCTCTGGAGCTTCAAAGGGCTCCCATACAGGTATCATAAACACACCTTCAAGGAATATAGCATGCCCTCACTTAGTCAGCACAACAAAACCATTGGCTGAAAACACACTCATAGCCAAGATTTGCAGAGTGGTCTTCCAATCTCCACCATTTACAGCATGGCACCAAACACACACATTGGTATTGTCACAAGGAATCTTCCCTTAAACAAAGACTAACCATGGACTTATTGGTAACACACCCCTCCGCTACCCCAAGTCTCAACTCCATCAAACCCTCCGAGGATTTTTCTTACTATACAACACCATTGATCTACCTTTACAGCTATCACTCAAGCATGGGTTAAAGCTTGGTTAAGTAAGACCAATATCATCAACGCAGTAAACAGTTACCATCTACCCTACACACTGGCACTTACATGGCATAAATTGGGCAATCCTTTCCCTGCTCAACTTTCGAGCTACAGATTAACCTACTATCGATATTCGAAGATACTCTGTGCTGGTTATGATAACATATCCAGAGGCATTACAGTCATACACTATCTAGAAGACTTCTTGTTGCTCAAAGAAAGCATATTTTTCACTAGAAGCCTCATGGCAGCTTAGTCTGGTTGACCACTTGGGTGTCCCAGTACCCCATAAGAAACAGAAGGCGCAGACACTATCATCACATTACTGGGCATATGACTTGAGTCGGCATCCATACACGCAAGTTACCACAAGACAAATAGGGAACATTCTCAACTAAATCAATCACTACCTCCTGCTTAGTACTTACAACTAAAAGGAACTACAATCCCTACCAGGTTCCTTAATTTTGCCATGCCAATCATACCACAAGACCACGCTTTCACATCCAGAGTACTTTCCCCCTTTTTTCCACACTTCCAACATGACGATCAGAGGAGGTGCCTAGACACCTCAGCAACAGCAGACCTGCACATGGGGGGGATTTCTTAACCACTTGGCATTGTAAAAGCATGTTCCTTCCAGGATTGTCTGACACTTCTCCAACCAGATGGTCAGACGCAGCGTATACCACTGGTTTGGCAGCGATCTACCGGGAACAATTGCTTTGGGGCTGTTGGCCATGGCATCCAGGTTTGGAAATTTTTCCACCACTTCAGCCCCTTTGGGAGATCTACCCCATTGTAGCAGCTGCTGTGGCATGGGGTAAATCATGGTCAGGGTCATCAATCCGTTGTTACTCAGACAACTAAGCACATATCATCAACAAACGCCACTACTCATCCATAAGTTCATGATGTTTCTGGGGAACTCACTTGGTTGGCCACTTATCACATTTCACTTTCATGTACCAGACGGGGGTATACATCGCTGCCGACAACTGTCTCATTTATATTCCAGGCATGTTCATCATACGCTTCCTACAAACGCCCATACAGTCACGTCCACTCTTTCGTTCCAGAGACAAAATCATGGATTAGACATACTCATGCAACATAGCATGCACTATCCCACCTAGCACTTTCGTCCCATACTTGTAGAACGCATAACACAGCTTTTCACCTGGCTTAAAGAATCTCATTGGAACACGACATAGCTCTACCTGTGTCACAAAATTTCTCCTAAGTTTTGCTTATTTTTGCCACCTTAAACTTAAACTATCTCATACACCATTAATTATATATTTTACAGGCATTCAACAACACATGATAACCTATGGCCAAAACTACCATAAACTTCATGCTATCATGCCAGAAAAGAATATACTCAGAGGTTTTCAGGAATCCATTCCCCCACGTTCCTCTCAGAGATTACCAATAGCCATCCAACTGTTCATCCTTATCAGACCTATTAGATCTACAACCATTCAATTATACTACCAAGTCGGCCATTACCAGCCATGCACATTGCCTTTTATGCCTTTCTCAGGCCAGAGAATCCACTACCATCACCACCACTCAGACAGATCATTGTCTTCAACGACCCCACGTACGTAAACACATATATCATTACCTATTGGCTCTACCACATTCCGAAATGAGTCAACATGCACCAACAGTAGAGATAACATACTATCCTACCCACAACAAATGGTGCCCACTTTTGGTCCTAGATTCCTACCTTCAAAATCCTTTCAGGAATTAAATACTGTAATGCATTTAAGGAAATGTCTGGTTAATTTGTATATATTTGTTGACTGTATTAAATCTTTTGATTATTCATTTTTGCCCTCTTTATTTACAGGCCTACCGTATCGTCGGTATCGGCACACCACAACCGACTTGCTCCCTTTACACTATCCCAAGCTTATGCTGGATCCTTACTCCATATACGGCTATTTTGCCCCTTACACAAGTATTAAGGCAGTTTTGCCTGTATTTGTGGGAGGGGCTTAAATTAATTCACTCCCCTATATAA